TTTCTACACTTCCTCATTAGAAGGTTTCTTATTAACCAATTCTCTACATCTTTTTCAAATTTGTCTAGTGGCTTCGTTAGTGTTGTTCCATTCTCAAGTTATCTCAAAGTCATGAAATCTTTATATCAGGATCGAACAAGGGTCTGTGAGAGTGATCATAGGTAGTATTTCTCATATTCCTGAGATTTCATGAAAGAATATAGTGTTAGGAGTTAGTAAATATCGTACCAGATCATAATGTCGAGAAATGTTCCTGCGAGCCTGCGTAAGAGTATTTTGCCTTGAGACATGTTGGAAGAAATATTTTGCTGAGGCTATACTTGCCGTCATTAACATTGGAGTCCACCATCCCCTCCAACTGTAACAAAAAGGAGATTCTTCAATTAGTGAATTGTGTTGAAGAATAAACACTAGTAAACATAATAAATATGTACCTTTTCTTGTTTGATTTTGGGACTGAAGGATTTGAATCTCTGTTGGCAATCAGAACCTGCAAGATAAATTGGCAAGAAGTTTACAGTGTTATAAACAAGTCCATATATATATATATATAATACACACACCACAAAAGGTTAACTTTTCATGGAACATCTTTTTTTTTTTCAATTTCTCACCAGAAAGAGATTAAGAAGACCTTCATCTTTATCAACAAAAGTGCAATCTCCATTGATATATGCATCTGCAAGGCCTAAATCTGCCTGTGTTGTGACCTAAGAGATGAGTTTTACAGCTGTTAATAAAAGTAAAAGTTTCATGCATTTATGGAAACAAAGATTGTTCGGTGTCCTCTTACCTTCCAGTAAAACTGTGGACTGTCAACCTTGATAACAGTTTTATAAGGACACTTTCTTGTGCTTCCTTCAAAACTGAACATTGTTCCTCCTTCCTCCAATAAGCTATTACAACACATAATGCCATAAATCAGTTATCTCATAAAAACTTTGAAAAAGATAATTGCAAAAAAGAAAAAGTTGATAGAAAATGGTGTGGATGCAAAATACTAGATCTGTTACATTAAACTGCCAGCAGAGATGAAATTTTGAAGAAATCTAGAGGCGAAAAGGCGTGCTCCTGTTTCTATCAGTGAAGGAACCATGTGTTTCGGATTGCTAAGAAGGTCACAACTTTTTCCAATCATGCCATATGCAGCCTCCGTTCCAGCCTGTAAAATGGAAACCTTACTTTTGATATGTACTTTCACTACAATGATCAAATTTTTCGAGAGATGTTCATAAAGAGACAGGATTGGATTCTGAATACTATATCCAAGGAAATAAGCCAAATAATGCTCATCAAAATCTACCTTTAATCCATCCTCATGGAATCCATAACCTGAAAGAATCAAAACATAGATACACAGATAGTCAGAAAATGCGAAACCAATCCGAATTGTTTAAAAATGGGAAATTGCAAAAACCAAAAAATTTGTCATATTGAAACCATGTTCATCCCATATTCCTAAAATCTTTTTAAGTCTTGAGGAGTGATATCAGTATTTGAGTTTATTACAAGAAAGAAAGCTTTACCCTGGTATGCTCCACAAAACCAAATTCCTCTCTTGCCTTGAATGTTATGAAGCTCGAGCGACGCTTTTGTCGCAGCAACAGATGGGACTGGATGGCCAGTTGTCCACTTAAGTAAGGTATGGTCTGGTGGACGTTCTGGATTGAGAGTCACAAGAAATGGGAGACTTGTGTCACCAAGGTTCTGGGATTCAAAGCTCTGGTTAGAACAGTACACACTATGGAAAATTATCTCTTGGGCTAGCATATTTACGAAGAAAAATAATCCACATCATGAAACTAAAATATAAGTTGTCAAGGCCAAAAAAGTCGGGAAAAAACAGTCGTCTTAATTTTTGCAGAACCTATGAATATTCACACGTATGCGTTCATGATGTTCACGATACAGTTTTTCGCGACGTGAATCGTTACAAAACATCTGGTTTTTGTGTGTACTACTCACCTGAAGCACATTGAGCCAGTATGTTAAGCATGCTTTGTTGTCTGTACTTCCGAGAAAATTCCATGCACTCCATGCTGCTGGCTTTTGGGGCATTAAAGTTTTGTCACGATGAAGGAAAATATCGCTGCCAGTAGAGAGTTAAACAATGACTCTGCATGTTGCCTGGATTAACTATCAGATACCACATTTACATTCTCTTAGCCCTTATCTATTCAAATTAGGATTTAATGATCAAATTTATGCACCATAACCGGTTATTATCATCCCTAAATTCTTACGCCAAGTTTG